AATGTTTTATGAAGCACACGTCTTAATGCTAAGTATAAGGCTCTACTTTGATAAAAGAGACTCGGTCTTTCCCCTTCATAGAGCTCGGAGGATAAATTTTTAATTTCACAGCAGTAATTGATTGTGGTTAATTTTCAGCTTGTTTTAGAACAAAGAGCAAAGTGGTCTAGGTTGTTTAAAGGTTTGGATAGAAAGTTAGGTGTGTGCCGGCTGCGTCAGACAGCTGCAGACTAAAGACATCTGTGGTATTAACTAGAATGGAACTGTAGTAAGTAAGAACGATGTGGACCATTGTTAGGTGATGTCGTTGTGTATTACACAGGATTCCAATGCAACCTCACCTCAGGGGGAGCAGGTGTCATTCGCATTCGACCTCAGGAGAACTGAGGCTAAGGTGCAATTTAAACCTACTGCCCAGCTCATGCAAGTAACGCTATATGTTTTGATGTATCTCACTCACTTGAAAAAGTAGACAATGGAAGAGATTTAGAAAGAAAGAGTTAAGAGTATTAAGACTTTGACACATAGAAATAGGTAATAGGGACTCGCAGAGATGGGAGTGATAAACATTTTGATGGAATACAGTAATTGTGGTCCTTGCCTCTTTTTGTACTTTGCTTTCTTATTGTGAATCAGCAGCCTTTGTCTCCTCCAAATGTTTTGCTGATTACACTTGAACCTTAAAGGTTAAGTTCTGCCAGAGACAAACTTATATGTGGTCTTAAAAAGAAAGGTGTGTGTGTGTGTGTTTGTGTGTATGTGTGTGTGTGATAAGCTGTCTTCATTCCATTCAGCCAAGAGCAAGACATCAGAAATTCTTAGCAGGAGGCAAATGGTTCGTCAGACCATGTTCCTGCAGTCAGTGGGTACTCAGCTGAAGGATGCTTCGGACTTGGGGGCAGGAAAGGCTTTCTCCTTTTGTTCATGATAAAATGCTGACACGGCTTTAATTATAGTTTTATAAACAGTGAAGTTGGACCATTGCTTCACCATATGGGACCAAGAGTGATAAATATGCTGGATATTGGTTTTTAAAGATAGGCAAACGTCAATGTAGAATACACTTTTTGTACGAATCATATTTTTATGAGGCTGCTGAAGAGTAGCAGAGTGTTGAATCAAATCACGAATTCTCAAGGCCATCGTAATCAAAGTAGGAAAAGTATATATTTGCTCGGGGAAACATCTGTTAAGGAATTTCTCCGGAGTCTCATCAGGAGTTGGCAAGCTTTACAGCTTTAACTGTGCTTCCATTATTGGCTTGTCTACAGACTGGTTTACATTAGGTGTCTTCCTGTCGTTAATTCACTAGTAAAGAAATAAGCATTTCAATGGTCTGCCTTTGTTAATAATGCCCCCTATGAAATTCAAATAAGTTCATATTTTATTCAGTTGTTTTCTTGGGTTCTATGTGCTGGCAGAGACTTCTGGAAAGGAGAGAAATGGTAAGAGGGGAAATGAGCATAAACCTACCCATGATACCTTTGAAAATTCCAAGAGCTGTATGCTTACCTTTTAATGCTTGGTTCACAGTAATCACAACATCATTTTTAACATTTCATTATTATTGGAATGAGACACATTGCAATTATTTTAAATCCAAGTAGAGATGACCTCCAGAAAAGCACGTACTTTCATGAAACTATCAAATGGATTATCAGTTATTGTGATTTTGAATATGAAAGGTCCCCCACAGGCTATTGTTTGGGAAGCTAGAAGTAGATGGTGGGAGGTAGTTTACTAGCAATGGGCCTTTGAAGGCCACACCTGCCCATGGCTCCTGCCCTAGCTCTCTGCTCCCTGTCTACCATCATGTGATCATCTGCTCCTGCATCATGTGTTCTGCCATCATGAACTGCACTGCTTCCATTCTGTGATGTCTATTTTAATTGCTTATATTAATTGCAGGGCCATAGTGGACCTGGGGTCTGGAAGCAAAAAAGATGAATACTTACACTCACTTCACTTGCTTCTTTTCCTCCTCTGTTTAGAGCCTCAGGCCATGGAAAGATGCCACGAGGATTGAGTCTGAGTCTTCCTTCCTCATTTAACCTAATCTGGAAATATTCTCACATGAGATTAGAGTTTTGCCATTAAGGACACTCTTGATCCTGTCAAGTTGAAAATCAATATAAACCACCTCACTTTCCCTAAATGATATCAGATCCCTCTTAGAGCATGAGCTAAAATAAACTCTTCCCCCTCTGAGTTGTTTCTGCCAGGAGTTTTGTCACAGTAAAGGAAATGTAAACAATGTGAAATGTAGTGGGTTTGGCCTAATGCTGCTTGTATTGTAATACTGATTTCAGTCCCCCAAACTGCTTATACAGTGTCCCCATAAGACACTGAGGGACCCTGCCCCCAGTTGGTTCTGATTGTCTAATAAAGACACCAGCAGTCAATGACTGGGCAGGGCAGGGCAGGGCAGGGCAGACAGAGGCAGGACTTAGAGGATTCCTGGGCTTCGGATAGAGAAAAGGGAGAGGAAGAGAACTGCCATGCCTGAAGAAGGAGGAAGAAGAGGAGGAAGAGCAGGAGGAAGAGGAGGAGAATGAAGAGAAGGAGGGGAACAAAGAGGAGAAGGAAGAAGGGGGAGGAAAAGGAGAAAAAGGAGAAGGGAGGAAGGAGAAGGAGAAGGGAGAGACACCATGCCTGAGAAGAGTGGAAGACACGGAGACATAGTGGCATGAGAAGGAGCCAGGAATGTGTGACCCAGATGGGCAGCCCTCTGGGTCCAGGGCAGCCAAAGTTGAATATAGAATTTAATAAGTAATAACTCAGGATTATTGGTGGGAGGTGGATTAACCACCTGGAGGTTAAGAAGTGGCTCACCTGTTGCACTGTTTAAGGCACATCAAAGATAAAGGCTGTGTGTGTGTGTGTGTGTGTGTGTGTCATTCGGGAACCCAGAACATTGAAGTGGGTAACAGAACCACAGAGACACTACTTTTGGGATTTATATATAAAAAACATGGCTACAGTAAGAAATATAAGCAGGAATTAAAGTGCTTTCTGGAAAAGCCAAGGAGAAGAAAAGCACAAAAACCACCCTCTCTGACAGAGTTGTATAAAAGATATATCACAAGTGGTGTACATGAAGTGTGTCATGCATTTTTGGGCTGTATTTGACATTAAAGCTCATTGATTTGCATCTTGTTATTTCCAGGTCTCCATTTTGTGCTTCCTGTGAGTCACATAGCCCACACAATGCTGTATCGAAACCCCCATCAATGACGGTGATATAAAATATATTGGAGCTTTGCAAGAAAATTATTTCTAATGCATTTGCTAAACAGTCGCTAAGACTCCTAGATTAGTATTGTGGAATAATAGTATTGTATCTTCAACATTTTATGTAGTCAAACTCGTGCCTTAACTCAATTCACTATTTAAACAAGGACAAACGTATTATGTTAGGCGTGTACCTCAGTATATAGGGCTTGCCTCACACACCCAAAACCTTAGGATGGATCTTCACCACAGGAAAAAAAAAGAAGTAGTATTCTATCTGTGTAAAATATTAACCCGCAGTTGTTGATGCTATTATTAGGTCTCTGTGATTGTTTAGGTCATCAATCTCTGGCAAGGAGCTTTCAGAATGCTTGATGATATTGCAAGCATCAAGCTGTGTTGCATTAAGAAGTGATGAATCTCTTTCCAGGTAAAGCTTTGGCCTTTGGCTATCATAATGTATCACCATTTTGTTTACAAATGGGTATTCACTCTGTTAAATGGTAACGGAGTGCATGAGATCTGGCTAACAGGGAATGTTGATACTAGCTAGTGTCAGAACAAACAGGACAATCAAAAGTCTGAGGGAAATGGCCACAATCACTTGTAAAATGAATAAATTTAGTAAACTGAAATCCCTGTGGCCTAGGCATTCAAGTGATTAAAATATTATCTTAAAGAGCTTGCTAAACACAAGAGCTTGCTAAACACTAACATGCTTTACGTATGTAAATTGATTTTTTTCCTTTGTGGCAAATCAAAACCAGTGCTTCATGCCTGCACAATATGTGTTCTACCTTGAGTGACACCAGAGAGCAAATATCTCATTTTAAAACTTCAATTCACCTTTCAAAATGGTTTCCAGGGTTTTACCTAGCCCAAAATTTACAACATTATACATATATCTGATATTTTACAGATTCCACATGAATCTCTTTCAAACCTTTGTGTTCGATTCATCAGGCCATCAGCTATTTAATATCCTGGTTATTATAGTTGAAACAAACATCTTTTCTTTTCTAGGGAAGATAAACACTCAATGGAAATGACTTGATTTCCTCTTTTGCTGATTATTAAAAGGAAATTTATGCTACTTTTATGCATCATTAAAAATAATCGAAGATGACATTTTACACTTCTGGAGAAAGAAAATTGCTTGCCGTCACTTTTGATACAGCTTTCGTGATTCTGCCTTGAATTTATTTTTCTCTATAACAGAAACATTTTTTTATATTTGTATAATAAATATGGTTAAAATATCCTCTCGTTACAGAAAAATGTTGAAAACTTCAGAGTCTGTAGAAACAATACCATTACCACAACAGAAAAATGTTGTCAAATCTTTAACAATTTGACCCATTCATATATTTCAAAGAAAGAAACATGACAGAAGAAACTACAAAATCTTGTCTGTCTTCATCTGTCTGCCCTTTCTTCATTCACTCTTGTTAACTAGACTATTTATTAATTTCATTTTATGTTTATACTCATATTGATGTATGATTTATCCTTAAATATGTTGTAGTTTTTATATTGTAATGTCTATACATATGTCCATGTGTAATACATACCACTACATAACTTGCTTTATTTCTCAGTATTCTACTGAATTTTTCTTCTGTATTACATGGATGTTTTATGTAATACGTGTATATAATTATGTATTTAATTTCTTTTGTCTTAAATATCAGCCTTCATATTTTGACCATTTTTGAACCGTGACTAAAAAATTTTTTTTTCCTACATGGTTTTCTTAAAGACATTCCATATCTGCCCCTAGAGGCATTACAGGTGTGACTACTGAGTCACGTGTGTCAGTAGGTGGCAGAGAGGAAAGAGGCTATGTCTGCATTCAGTGTTCTAACCTATGAACATCTGAATGATTAGTGGCCTAACATACCCTGAAAAATATGCAAGCTGGAGATGACCACCAGACTGGTAGGAAGGGTCCTGGACAGGGAGCTAGCCTGACATGATCACGAGTCTGGCCTGGATGGGTTCCCAGGTTAGGGACCAGAAAAACCCTGCCTGGAATCCCAGGCACTGGGAAGGAGTGAGAGAAGATCCTTGGACAACTGGGTAGGCCAAGTGAAGAGTGAGTCTAAGGTGATCACCAGACTGGCACCATGGGGTCCAGACAGGGAGCTAGCCTGAGATGACCGCCAGTTCGGTGCTACCCCTGCCAGGCCTGTGGGTGCAGACATGCCAGAAGTTACTTTTGTTTTTTACTGTGCCATAATGCATTAGCATGGCATAGAACTCCTGAGACCACTCCTGAGATAACCTGAGACACAAAGAGACCCTGGGAACCATTAAGAGGAGCAAGTCAGTGGTGGAGAAATGGAAGAGAAAGAGGAACAGAAGGATGTGTGCACAATGAAGAAAGGCAGAGCTGGAGACTTGAGGGTAGTGAGGAACAGCCTGATGTGAGTAGCTGTGACGCCACCTGAGAACATGATGGGGTTCTGGCCAGTGCTGCCACTAGGGACCATGTCTGTGTCCTTGGCACTGCAGCAGCAGGGATCTGTTACCACCACAGGCCAGGGGAAGGTCCCTGGTCTGGTCCCTGGTTTGCCTCTTGGGGACATGTTGATGTCTTAGGGTTGGGCAAAACCTTCCATCTCTCACACTTGGGCATCATGGGCAAGCTGGCCCTGAAGGCATGAAAGCAAGAGAGTTGACCATATCCATAGCCAGCTGTAGTACTTGGGGAAAGTGGGCCCACACATTGCAGGAGATACAGGTAAGCTGGCCAGAAGATACGAGCATGGGGAGCATGGGAGAGCTAGCCCTTCCACTTGTCTCTAGGTGACACGGATGACGAAGTGATACCCTCCTCCCTGCTTCACCCTTGACCTCTTACAGCAGGTGGGAGAGCTAGCCCTGGGGTCCTGAGAGCAAGGGAACTGGTCCTGCCCCTCAGCAGATGCAACATTCAGGAGAACAGGCCCTGAACCTTGCCTTGGCAGCACAGTAGAATTGGCCCTGGATGTGGGGGTTTGGGGTGAGCATGTACTGAGGGCATGAGAATGGAAGAGCCCAGGGGCTTACCAGCTCAGATACCTCTCAGGCCCAGATTCAGGTCTTTGATTTGGTCAACCCCAACACCTACCTCATAGATAAACTGATGGAGTACATGAAGGGGCTGTTCCTACAGATCCAAAACTAGAAGATCTCCATGACACAGGGTGATAATAGGATATCCACAAGGAGTCCTAATGAGGATCCAGTATTTTTAAAGTTGAGGAAGCCAAAGGCCTTGTACCAGACCAATTGCAGGGAACATTTTTTTGCAAAGAGTTGTGGACAGAAGAGTCACCCTGTGACACACTGTAGCTTCTACAACAAGATATTTTTTTCTCTATTGGGAGTAGGGGAGTTTTCAAGGGTTGAGGGGAGAGGAAGATGAATGAGGTGCATGATGTGAAATCCCCAGTAATTTAAAAGAACCAGTAAAAAGGTTTTTTTTGAAAAGAGACATTCTGTTAAAAGTGGATTATAAGGTATATTTCTAAATTCACTTTTATAAGTAAAACCTGTTCTTACACACATGTGTTGGTAGCTTAGTTTTCATGACAACTCTGTCATGTGTGAGGGTTTCAAATAATCAGACATGTGTCTCTGTCTTCTTGATTTTTCAGCAATGGTGTAGCTTCAACTAATGTCAGAAAACTTGGCATCTGTCAGGACAAAGCATACAGAGCCAGGGCAAACTCATGTGACACCAATTTCACACAAAGATCCACGGAAATATCTCTTAGCCTGTTCCTTCTTATTTATAAAAGCTCATTGTGTGACATTGTTTCCCTCTGTTATATTCAGGAAACATTCATAAGTTCTTTGAAAGCATTCATTAAAATTCTGACTGGAATCAAAACACAATCATGAATCATTTTGGAAATAATTATATTTTAATAATCTTGTAGCTATGTTTTATCAACAAGCATAGTTTTTTGTATATAATCAGATCTGTATTTTCATTATGAAACATCTTATTATGATTTCTATTATGTTTGTTATTTGTTTGTAGAGTTAGATAAAGATTTTCTGTAACTTGACATTTTTTGGTGTCTCCATCCCTCGAATGGGGGTCCTGTCTGGCTACTGGAGGTGGTCTCTTCAGGTTCCACATCTCCACTGTTGGACATTTCTGCTAAGGTCACCTGTATTTAATCCTGGGGGCCTCCCTCATCCTGGGTCTCTGGGACTTCCTAGAACCATTGCCCCCAGCTGAATACTTCAATTCATTCTCATGGCTCTCTGGGACTCCTTCTTGCCTCTCTCAATGTCTGATCCTCCCCCATTATTCCCCTTGGCCTCTGGTCGGTCTTCCTTTCTCACCCAAGTCCTTCCCTTCCTCCGCCTCTGATCATGAGTATTTTATTCCTTCCCACTTCTAAGTGAGATTCAAGCATCCTTACTTGGGCCTTCCTTCTTGTTTAATGTCTTTGGGTCTGTGAGGTGTATCATGTGTATTCTGAACTTTTTGGCTAATACCAACTTATCAGTGAATACATACTATGAATGCCCTTTGGGATCTGAGTTACCTCACTGAGGATGATATTTTCTAGTTCCATCATTTACTTCATGATGTCCCTGAGATTCCACCTAATACCAAACAGAATGGCTAAGATCAAAAACTCAAGTGACAGTATATGTGATGATTTGGAGAAAGGGGAACACTCCTCCCTTCCTGGTGGGATTGCAAACTTGTAAAATTACTCTGAACGTGAATCTGGTGATTTCTCAGAAAACTGGAAATACTCTCCACTACACCCCAAGGACATGTTCTCCACTGTGTTCATAGCAGCTTTATTTGTGACAAACTGGAAGCAACCCAGATGTCCCACAACTGAAGAATGTTTACGGAAAAATGTGGTGCATTTACACAATGGAGTACTATTCAGCTATTAAAAGCAAGGACTTCATGAATTTCATAGGCAAATGGATGGAACCAATTTGACATTTGTTAAAGCCAGTAGTCCAGTGTACCCCCAAGCTTGGATTATAAACATTTACTTTTATTATTCTAAGTTGTGTGTATGTGTGGCGGTTTGTGTCAGAATGGCTTTAATAACCACACATATTTGCATGCTTGGTCAACAGGAAGTAGTGCTATTTGAGACAGATTAGGAGGTGGCCTTGTTGGAGTAAGTGTGCCACTAAGGGTATGCTTTAAGTTTTCAAAACCACAAGTCGGGCTCAGTGACACTGTTTTGGCTGCCTATCTGGATGTTAAACTTTCTCCCTCTTTCCTGCACCATGCTCCTCACCATGATGACAATGGACTAAACCTCTGAAACTTCGAGCCAGACTCCACTAAATATTTTCTTTTATAAGCATTGCCATGGTCATGGTGTCTCTTCACACCAATAGAACAGTGACCAAGACAGTATGTGTATACAATGGGAGTAGGCATATGCATAAGAGGGCAGGTGCCACAGAGGCCAGAGGCATCAGATCCCCCTAAGGCTCAGGTTACAGTCATTTGTAAGCCATGCTAAGTAGGTGTTGGAAATCAAATTCATGTCCTGTGCAAGAGCAGTATGCACTTTTAGTATTGACCCATCTCTACATGACCCCAATCTTGGATTTTAGAAAGAAATATAGTTTAAAACAAACTTCAATAAAATTCTTGACATCCTTGAACTCAAATATGATAAAAAGTATCAGCATTTTCAAAGTTTTATGTTATAGATAATGAAAATCACAATAGTGTAACGTCAAAAGACATTATTTGGATTTATGATATATACTTGAAAATTCACATTCAAATGTGCATACAATAGAAAATCTTCTGTAGTAATTCTTTTGTATATATTAGCACAGGTTACATTTTGAAAAATTTTCAATATTACAGGTAGAACTATATAAGAAATGCAAATTTAGAAAGAATGTTCAAAACCTGTCAGGTTTTCTTAAAGGTGTGACTGATTGCAGGGTGGAACATGGAAAATAAGTGGATCCTGGAGCCAAATAAACAATGATGAATTGATATGGTTTACAGATCAACTCCTCTGCTTCACAAACAGAGCTGTCCTAGGACAATTATTCCTAGCTCCAACTCCTCCCATGTCCTGTAGCCATACATTACCACATGACTGTAGTCCTCAAGCATCATAGGGTGAATAGCACCGATGGTCATTGCCTTGTTGACTGACAGCTTGCAGCAGATTGAAAAGCATCAAGTTTTCTCCTTACTCTTACTCTTACTTAGGGATAGAAGAATTTCTATAGCAGAGATGACCCATCCCAGCTGAGAGCCAGTCACATCCAGATGAGTGAATTCTAGCATGTAACCAGCAGCCTACACATGGGAGTCCAGGCCATAACTCATCTCACTCAATGTCCATTGAGTAAATGTCGTTTGATACATGCTAGTCTTTCTGAGCTCTGAACTGTGGTGACATCTTATGTATATAATTGCAGCAACACATAGAACATAATTCTGTATTCTTCCTTTATTTTGATTCCCCTAATTTTTCATATGTGAGTCCAGGCCACAACTCATTTCATTCAATGTCCTTTGAGTAAATGTCGTTTGATACATGCTAGTCTTTCTGAGCCTTGAACTGTGGTGACATTTTATGTATACAATGGCAGCAACACATAGAACATAATTCTGTATTCTTCCTTTATTTGGATCCCCCTAATTTTTCACAATAATGTTGTTCTCAGTTATAGAAAAACCTCATGCATGGTTCATTCGTTATTCTTAAAAGTTTGATTTTAATTAATATTTAAGTATTATTTAAGAATCAAATTTTTGTTCCTATTTTAGAGGAATATATTTGATTATTGTGGTCTAGCTTTGTTCATACTGTTATTAATCTCATGTTTTTTTTTTCCATGAAACATTTTGAATTATTGTCGAGTTCTTTGCCATCACATCTAATACT